ATGGGCCTCATGTAGGTCAACCATCTGGGTCCCACTGAAAATCCAGTCAGGGCCCACTAAAATTATGTGGGCAAATGTATGTAGGGCCATCATGGAACCGACAGACAAATCCACTTGTTACCCATATTCTAGCCCAGATGAGACCCATTTATGGCCCAGGTAATTGTTCCTCAAAGCGCACAGATGGGCCCTGCATGGGCCTCATGTAAGTGAACCATCTGGGTCCCACTGAAAACCCAGTCAGGGCCCGTTAAAGTAAAGTGGGCAAACACATGTAGGGCCACCATGGAACCCGCGGACAAACCCACTTGTTACCCATATTCTAGCCCTGTTGAGACCCATTTATGGCCCAGTTAATGATTCCGTTTAAAAGCACAGGTGGGCCATACATGGGCCTCATGTAGGTCAACCATCTGAGTCCCACTGAAAATCCAGTCTGGGCCCATTAAAATTATGTGGGCAAATGTATGTAGGGCCATCATGGAACCCGTGGACAAACCCACTTCTTACCCATATTCTAGTCCAGTTGAGACCCATTTATGGCCCATTTAATTGTTCCTCAATTCACACAGGTGGGCCATATGTGGGCCCCATGTAAGCGGACCATCTGGGTCCCACTAAAAACCCAGTCAGGGCCCGTTAAATTCTATGTGGGCAAACACATGTAGGGCCACCATGGAACCCACGGACAAACCCTTTTGGGACCCATGTTATTTGCCCTTATTTATCCCATATGGGGCCCACATATGTATGCTGGCTGGGTGGTAGTAGTGGAGAATCATCCCAGCTCCTGTTAAACTTCAGCACACAAAGCGATGGGTGATGTGGAACCTTTTTAAAAAAATTTATTTTTTTGTTCTTCTGAAACTCGGCTGAACAAAAGGTGAGTCAGTCAAAGCTTTTGTTGCATTTTTTATACAAAGGTAATTAAAGAATAAATACAAATCTGTAAAAGACAGTGATCCCTATCAGCTGTTTGCTCATCGAGCCCTAATGAAATATCTTCAAACTGGATATCCTAAACCTTTAATACCTTTAATAGTTATTATCTTACATACTGTATATACATTTTTTCCGCTCTCGAAGGAGTAAGATGCTTCTTCCTTCACTCCTGCCCTTCCTTATCNTTATCTCCCCCCACACGCTGAACTACAGATTCAGGTATTATCCACTACCACTAAGGTGACATTTAATGTAACCACTGGATTGATTTCAGGAGGTATGTAGCCAATTACTGGAGTCATCTGAATTCAAGATGGTCTCCAAACAAAGATTTAAATTGACAACTTAAGGTAAATTAACTTTACACACTTGTATTGATTTGAAATTCTCATCTGGGCCCAGTTTCAGAAAGCAGGCTTAAACCCTGGGTTAATGCAGATTCTCTTAATACACTTAGCCCCCTTCCCCCTACTCTGTAATACTTAGGATTTTTGGTTTCAGAGCAAGTGACATCAACTGGGTAACTTATATGTTGGAACACAGAGCCCTCTATGGAAGTCAGAATGTGATTAACCATGACAAAGGGTGAACATGAGGCCTGAAAGTCATTTCTTGTGCTGAAACTAAAAATATTGTAGCGTTTTCCTCCAATTTAACTTTTGCTGGATATAACTTATGACTGTTTGGGGAAAGAAATAGTCATTTCAGACTCTTAAAAAACTTGCATGACCCTTTGTGCTTCAAATTAGCATATCAACCGTTACTATGGCGCCTCAGAAGACCACTGAAAGAATTTACATTGTCACCTCCCTGTCCCAACCCCCATAAGGACAAGCTATTTACTTTCTTCAAAGGAAAAGGGGGTTGTCAACAATTGCTTTGCCAGAACCCTCTCAGCATGACTTGAACAAAAGGAAGCCCCATGCTTGAGTGAATAAAGAGGAAAACGACTGTTAACTGTGTTCACCCACTAAGAACATTGTTCTAACTTTGTGGGTTTATTGATGAAATGTTTTTCTGAAGATATTTCTTTAAACTGTGTGATTACATGAGTTAACCTTAGAACCGTAGTTTTAAATTTAACTAAATAGACATCCTTATTTTACTGATGTAAAGCAGATGCCTCTCCCTTTAATTAGATGCAAGATAATTAGACTAAAACACTCCCATTCTTTGTCTGAAAAACATTGGTTTCCCTCCATCATTCAACCTCTCCGCCATTTTGACTCGTAATAGCTCGACCATCTCACTTCAACTCAGCCCTTGAGTTTGATTTTTAAAGGAGTCATAATAAGCTAATGGTAATTCAACGTCGTTTAGTCCGTTTTTCTACAAAGTGAATATCAAATTGAGTCTTGAAACCACTTGTTAAGAGCCAGGACCAAGTCACCAGAGGAAGGACTCCTTTCTGACCACGGGACCAGTCGAGTCAACCAGGCCGACCGCCTGGCGTCTGGTTCGCATGGAGAGCCTGTCTGGAGAACAAGCTCCAGAGATGGTCTTCCACAGCTGACTTCAACCTCCTGGTACCCACACGGCAGGACACAAAGGAAAAAGGTGAACACTTGTCTTGGTGAAACACACACAGGTGCTCAGACGTAGATTTGATTTTTATCTTTGTAGGAAAGTTGGTAAACTAAACGTTTTTATCGACCTTAATTTAGCTAGGAAGCCCTAGTTAAAACAACCACAGAAACAGCTTATACAACCACACCTCCCTCATTCAGAGCCTCAAAACACTTCTGAGTGTTTATTTTTGTTATACATTGTTTGTTTTCATTTGTCTGTCTGTTCATTCACTTGTGATAACAAACTCTCTCAGTTTACCTGGTTCAAACATGTCATCATTCATTCATTGTTTGCCATAGTTGTAAATACATTTAATCTGTAAATAAATGGCTCGTGGAGAACGTGCCAATTTAAGCTAATCTCAATTTTTCTTTGTGT